AAAGAAAGAAAGAAAGAAAACTTGGGAGAAAGAATCATTAAAATAAAAATTAATTATGTCTAAATATGCATACTGCATAATTGGCATCAAATTACTCTAACAGTTATCTCCTAGAAAATACTTTCTGAGTGAAAACTTGTTGATGTCAGTATGAGTTCGATTAAACACACTTAGCCATAGTTATCCCCCCGGCATCCTGGATATGGCAAGTAAATGTCCAGTGTCTGCATCTTTATCAGAGAAATGGAGCCCCACTGTCAAAACCAAAAGCGATTCCAATTTTATTTATTTATTTATTTATTGAAGCAGTCTCACTCTGTTGCCCAGGCTAGAGAGCCCTGGCATCAGCCTAGCTCACAGCAGCCTCAAACTCCTGAGTTCTAAGGATCCTATGCCTTAGCCTCCAGAGTAGCTGGTACTACAAGTGTGATTCCAATCTCTATTAAGGGATCCCAAATAATATTTTAAAGCATTAATTTATAACTGATGGGGTCACTCTTAAAATTCTCCTACAATTTTCTAGTTTTCCATATCTCATACCCTACAGCTCCCACAACACCATTTTTCCTCTCCAGACCACCTCCTGAACTTCCCCACCAGAATGCCACCTCCAAGATCTCCAACTGAGAAAGCAGTTTTCCCTTAGCCATCATCATTTTTAATCTCTTTTTCTCTGATGTTTTTGTTTTATTTGTTTGTTTTGTTTTGTTTTGTAGAGACCGTCTTGCTTTATTGCCCAGGGATGAGTAGAGTGGCACAATCACAGCTAGCTGCAGCCTCAAACTCCTGGGCTCAAGCAATCCTCCTACCTCAGCCTCCTGAGTAGCTGGGACTACAGGCTCAAGCCACTGGCTTAATCTCTCTTTTTAATAAGTACTGGCTCCTATCTCATTTCCCCTCTCCCCCCATATGTTTGGACTATTCCAAAACATATAAGATGGGCAGCAGTTGGATAATGTTGAGTTGGTAACCAAAAAGACCCTACTACATATGTACACCTGCAAAATGTCATGCTCTAGTGGGTTCAAAACGCTACCAAAGCTGAACTTGGTGCCTAGGTCCTATAATCGTAGCACTCTGGAAGGCTGAGGCAAGTGGATTACTTGAGCTCAGGAGTTTGAGACCAACCTGAGCAAGAGTGAGACTCAAAATATAATATACTAATATAATATACTAAAAAAAATAGAAAAACTAGCCAGGCATGGTAGTGCATGCCTGCAGGTCCAGCTACTCAGGAGGCTGAGGCAAGAGGATCCCCTGAGCCCAAGAGTTTGAGGTTTCTGTGAACTATGATGATGCCGTGACATTCTACCCAGAGCAACAGTGTGAGACTCTGTCAAAAAAAAAAAAAAACCAGGAAAAGACCCAACAAAAAAAGAAAATTATAGACCAATATCACTAATGAATATTGATGCAAAAATATTCAACAAGATCCTAACAAACAGAATCCAGCAACACATCAAAAAAATTATACACCATGACCAAGTGGGTTTTATCCCAGGATCTCAAGGATGATTCAACATATGTAAATCTATAAATATAATTCATCACATAAACAAATTAAAAAACAAAGACCATATGATTCTCTCAATTGATGCAGAAAATGCTTTTGATAATATCCAGCATCCCTTCATGATCAGAACACTTAAGAAAATTGGCATAAAAGGGACATTTCTTAAACTGATAGAGGCCATCTACAGCAAACCCACAGCCAATATTGTATTGAATGGAGTTAAATTGAAATCATTTCGACTCAGATCAGTCTCCTCTATTCTTTAACATTGTAATGGAAGTTTTATTGAAATCATTTCGACTCAGATCAGTCTCCTCTGCTCTTTAACATTGTAATGGAAGTTTTGGCCATCACAATTAGGGAAGAAAAGGCAATTAAGGGCATCCATATAGGGTCAGAAGAGATTAAACTTTCACTTTTCACAGATGATATGATTGTATATCTGGAAAACACCAGAGATTTGACTACAAAACTCCTAGAAGTGATCAAGGAATACAGCAGCATCTCAGGTTACAAAATGAACACTCATAAATCTGTAGCCTTTATATATACCAACAGCAGCCATGCTGAAAAAACAGTCAAGGACTATTCCATTCACGGTAGTGCCAAAGGAGATGAAATATTTGGGGGTTTACCTAACAAAGAATGTGAAAGATCTCTATAAAGAGAACTATGAAACTCTAAGAAAAGAAATAGCTGAAAATGTTAACAAATATGCCATGCTCATGGCTGGGAAGAATCAACATTGTTAAAATGTCCATATTACCCAAAGCAATATATAATTTTAATGCAATCCCTATTAAAACTCCACTGTCATATTTTAAACATCTTGAAAAAATAATACTTCATTTTATATGGAATCATATAAAATGATTGTCTCGAATAGCCAAGACATGACTCAGGAATAAAGACAAAGCAGGAGGAATCACGCTACCAGACCTCAGATTATACTATAAATCCATAGTGATCAAAACAGCATGGTACTGGCACAAAAATAGAGAGGAAGATGTATGGAACAGAATAGAGAGCCAAGAGATGAATCCAGCTACTTACCTTTACTTGATCTTTGACAAGCCAATTAAAAACACTGAGTGGGGAAAAGATTCCCTATTTAACAAATGGTGTTGGACGAACTGGCTGGCAATCTGTAGAAGACTGAAACTGGACCCACATCTTTCACCATTAACTAAGATAGACTCTCATTGGATTAAAGATTTAAACTTAAGACATGAAACCATAAAAATACTAGAAGGAAATGTAGGGAAAACACTTGAAGAAATCGGCCTGGGTGAAATTTTATGAGGAGGACCCCCCTGGCAATTGAAGCAACATCAAAAATATACTATTGGGACCTAATCAAACTAAAGAGTTTCTGCACAGCCAAGAACACAGTAAGCAAAGCAAGCAGACAGTCCTCAGAATGAGAGAAGATATTTGCAGATTATGTCTCTGACAAAGGTTTAATAACCAGAATTCATAGAGAACTCAAACG